AATCCCCATAAGGGTGGGAGGAGAGAAATGACTCCACAAAGTTGTCCTTGGACCACCACACATGTGCACCCCCAAATAACAGTAATAGTAATAGCAGTAGTAGTAGTAGTAATAGTAATAATAATAAATGATTTTTAAAACTAGAAAGGAAGAAGAGGGAGGGAAGAAGGATGAAAGAATAGCTTTCCTCTATCTCAGAGGCATGAAAAAAGTTAAGTAGTTTCCCAGGGTCATATGATTACCTCCAAACCCAGTCCTTGATTTGGTATCCCCTCCCCAAGCCACGCCTCTCTGAGACAATTCTCCTCTCTGCTCACTCTCACCACAGACCAGTCAGGCCACCTCACCAACAGTCAGTCTAAGGTTTAATGAAGAGATCATATGATCACAGGGTAGGGAATGGATGAGTTTTTGAAAACTACCTCTTGCAAAAATTCTGTTCTTACATAACCTATTAGAACTTGGAGAAGACAAGGTGAAGCAAAGAGCCTTGTAAAGCAATGGCAGATGGGGGCTGGGAATGCAACCTAGTTGGTAGAACACTTGCCTAGCATGCACAGAGCACTGGATTCATCCTTAGCACCACATAAAACTAGTTTGGTGATTCATATCTGTAATTGCAGCACTTGGAACGAAGCAAGGAGGATCAGAAGTTCAAGGTCATCCACAGCTACATATCAAGTTTAAGGGGAGTGTGTGTTACAGGAGACCTTGTCTTATACACACACACAAACACACACACATACACCACCACCACCACCACCGCCGCCGCCACCATCACCACCAACAGAAAAGTGGTTCTGACAAAGCAATTGAAGATGCATGCAACTGAAAAGGGGCAATTCTAGTTCAATTCGGAAACCTGATGACAAATACTAAGGCCTTCACTGGGACAAGGAATTGCTTGGGGCATATGGGGATCGGTAACAGAAACAGCTGAAGCCCTGAAAGAGCAGACACTTTGGCTGTAGGATTTGCTTTTTCAATCATCTTGGGATCATGGACATGATCTAGCCCAGTCATGTCTAGCACAGGAGGGTAACCTGGAGTAGGTTTGCCTTTTCTGAGATGTACTGAAGGGCCTGATGAACTTAACTAGGAATTCAACTTTTCTTTCCCAGCCCACAAACCCCTTCCTGTACACAGTGAAAGGCTACCATTACTCTAAGGCCATTTTTTTCAGGGGGAGGGGAATAAAAACGATTCTGAGATTTTGGGGTAAAATCTTTATTATTTATTATTTTAATTTTATGAGTGTCTTGCTTGCATGTGTGTAAGTGCACCTGTGTTGTGCAACATCTGTGGAGGTAAGAAGAGAGTGTCAGATCCCCTGGAACTGGAGTTATAGATGATTGTTAGCTCCCATGTGGGTCTTGAGAATCAAACCAGGTCCTCTGTAAGAACAGTCAGTGCCCTTAACCACTAAGCTACCTCTCCAGTCCCTGGGCTAGAATCTTTAGATCTGCTTGATATGGATTTAAAGCTAGTAAGAGAAGCACTAGTGAAATAATGAATTCGAACATCGAACCCCTGAACTTCAACTTTAATTCAAATCTTCTGGTGGGATCTAGTTGAAATGCAGATTTTGATCCTACAGGTATGTCTGGGTGAGCTTCAGAGTTCACTTCTTCTTCTTTTTTAATGTGTATGAATGTTTTTGCCTGCATGTAAGTAAGTGCACTGCATATGTGTAATGGCTGAGGAGGCCAGAAGAAGGCATCAGATCCACTGGAACTGAAGTTACAGACAATTGTGGGTCACCATTGGGTGCTGGGAACTGATCCCAGATCCTCTGCAAGAGCAGCCAGTGCTCTTAACTGCTGAGCCGTTTCTCCAGCCCCGAGAGTTCATTTCTAACCAGCTTCTGGGTTTGTTCCTGGTCCCATCATCACATTTGCAGCAAAGGCAGAAAGCACTGGCCCTGAAGCCAGCAGATAGAAAAGTTTTAGGAAATATTGGAAAGTTTTAGGAAATATTGATACCAGACTCTCATCTCTGAGAAATCTGATTTAACTGGCCTTGAAGTACATGCTGAGCATCAAGATTCTTGTGTCTGGCACAGTTCAAGAACCACTGCTCTAACAAAGCTGTTCCCAACTGCCTGTGTGTTCTCTATCTCTTTCCATGCAGAAGCAGCTGCAGTGCAGGGCAACCATGAACTCAAGGACAGGTATCAGCTGACTCACTCCTGTGGCTTTCCTTCTGGTTTGCCTTCCCATCTACAGATGGGGGCAAAGACGCTGCTTTCCTTAGAGGGGTGCTGTGAGGAGTAGGTAAGCTCCCCCAACACAGGGAGAACTCAGAACAGCCTGATGCGATGTGTTAATATGTCATCATCATTTTCAACTGCAATAGAATATCTGCAAAGCTTTAATGGAGGGTTATCCATTGTGGGGTCCAGGAATGGGGTTCAGAATGCCATCACATAGATTTGCCTAAAGGAATGATGCTAATAGTTTTTTAAGAACTTGGAAGAATATGAGCCAGGCATGGCACACGCCTTTAATCCCAGCACTCAAGAGGCAGAAGCAAGAGGATCTCTGTGAGTTTGAGGTCAGCCTGGTCTACATAGCAAGTTCCAGGCCAGCTGGGGCTCTAGGGAGACCCTGACTCAAAAAGACAAAAAAAAAGAAGAACTTGGAAGAATATGGGTTTAAGGTTTAAGGGAGTAAACTTGAGGTCGCTAAAAATCACTACTGGGTGAAACAGACCCTTGATCACTGCTTGCTTAAGGGATGAAGAAATTGTTGAAAAACACTAAGAACAAATTAAATGGAGTACAATAGTCTTTCTTAATGGTCCTCTGATGCCTTCACTCTAAAGCAAAGCCTTTCTGAGGTCAAAAGAAATGAGTAGTTCCTCTCTGCCTATTGCATTAAGACCACACTTCTCAAACTCAAGATTGCCTCAACTTCTCTGTCTGACATGACCTGCAGTCCTACCACCAACATTACCTTCCTCTGCTCACCACCCCTCCCCCTCACTGTACCTTCAAGGATCCATTCACCTCTATTTTTTTCAAATTTAATTTTACTTTTTTGGTCTTGATGTCTTAATTTCTTTTTTAAATTTGTGTGTGTGTGTGTGTGTGTGTGTGTGTGTGTGTGTGTGTGCTGGCACTGACTGGTAGGTCAGAAGACAATGTTTAGGAATCAGTTCTCTCCTTCCATCCTGTGGGTTCTGGAATTTGAACTCAGATTCTCAGATTCTTGGCAACAGGTACCTTTACGTGCTGAACCATCTTGCCAGTGTCAACTATCTAAATTTCTTCATCCCTGAAACTTCTTTTCTTTCCCTTATTCCCATCCTGACCCTTAGTATACTTTGGTTATTTGACTACTTGAAGCTCAGCTCTTAAATATTTTAGGATGAAAAATGTCATCACTTAAATAGTGCCAGATTTTGTCTGGCAAGAAAACTGTCTTAAAAGTCCTTAGGTGTCAGGCATGGTTGCCCATGCTTTTAATCCCAGCACTTGGGAGGCAGAGGCAGGTGGATCTCTATGAGATCAAGGCCAGCCTGGTCTACATAGTGAATTCTTAACCAGCTGGGGATACAGCTGTTTTGAGACCCTGTCTCAAAAACAAAACAAAACAAATCCCAAACAAACAACAACAAAAGTCCTTTGGGGGTGGTCTACACCCATATTTGGGAAAACCATGTAATTGAATGAATGAAACCAATTATCTGTTCAAACTTCTTGTAGAAAACCCATGGGAAAACCTTGAAAGTGGATGTTTTCAGGCAGAGAAGATAAGTTTTCTGTTTGGAAACAAACATGGTCCATATAGCTGTGGAGGCATTAGATGGAAAAATGCAGAATGTTACTGCAGTTGCAACAAATTTAACTGATTCTGTATCTGAACTTTGGTTGTTCCTTCAGGATCTTGGATTCCTTTATTTCTTTATTGAGTGATGCTTGCTAACAACAACTAGTTGTCACATTTATCGTGTGCCAGGACTAAGATTAATTCTTGCAAGGACTAATTTGTGTAATCCTCATAATAGCATTATGATTTGGGGGTGGGTGTCTTTTTTGAGACAGGGTCTCCCTGTAGCTCCAGCTGGCCTGGAACTATGTAGACTAGGCTGGCCTTGAACTCACAGAGATCCACCTGCCTCTGCCTCTGAGTGCTGAAATTAAAGGCGGGTGCCACTACACCTGACTGCATTATGATTTTTCAGATGAGGAAAAGAAGGCTCAGAGAGGTTAAGGATTGAGTCCTGCAAATAAAAGGCAGAGCTAAGATTTGAACCCAGGCCTAACTCTATTGCCTGCAATCTCAAACTCTACTACTAGATAATTTTTTTTCTAAAAATCTCGTCTTTGAAATTTTCTCTTGGGGGTATGTTTTACAATTAGTAGTTTGTACTTACTATCTGGGGGTACACACTCAAAAACTGGCAGGGATGCCCAGTCCCATGTTGCCACTTTTTCATAAGCTGCCTTGCACAATATTCTTATTTCTTCATATTCATCGGCCTCATTCCTCAGGGAATCTGCAATGTCCTTGAAGGAGAAATTGTTCTAAACTTCTACTCTACCTCTTATAGCAGGCCTGACTGTATCATACCAATGTGCTCATTAAGCTGCTAGAAATACAACAGATTTTTAGCTTCAGGGAAAGACTGAAATGTCTTCCAAGCACAGCAACTGGAACATAGCAACTAGAATAATCTTGCTGCACAAACACGAAACGTGCTACTGGAGACCCCCAAAGATGTGTCCTGGATTTGAACTTTAAGACGCCAGAACAAGGTAGTGTTTAGTTAACAACTTTCTTGTCTGGGAAACTTCCAAAGGCAGAGATCAGTCCTGGAAGGCTACTGTAACCCATACTCTGGCGCCATCTGCTGGCAGGATGGGGTTGCATTTTTCTTTTCAGGAATTCTTGGTTCTGGTTGTTTAATTGCTGTTATTATAAGCCCAAAGAGTCCGTTCTTAATTTATAAGGGGGGGGGGACGAAATTCCATTGACTCTTTTTCCCCATATAGCAATTAAACATTAATTTCTATTCTTTTTACCTGTTAACACAACTGCCTCTCCAGCCAGACTCACTAGAAATTGCTTATTGTCAGAGAACGTACCTGGCATACGTGGAATGACTCTCCTCACAAAGTCAAACCTTGATTGCCCACAGAGTACTTCATACAAGCCTTGTTTCTCCACACATTCTTCTAATGCTGTGTCTCAGTATTGGTTTTCATAGACAAGGTTTTTAAGTTTCAATTAGTGGTAGGAATCAAATATCTAAAATTCTTTAATTCATTGTTAGATTAAGTACATATATATATTTCCTTAGCATCTGGTTTCCTTTTCTATTCTCCCTTTTGTGGGTGAGTCACAATTGTTAATCATATCAATGACTTCAAAATTTGAGATTTGGTGCCAAGGCAAAATTCCTCTGAATGACTTTCCCATAGGGGACTGAACATCTCTTCCCCCACTTGAGTTATAAAAAAAGTTCAAGAACCAGTGGAAAGCCTGAAATGTCACCAGTGCATGGCATACTGCAGAGTTGAATAAAGATTTGCTTAAAAATTAACTTAAAGTAATATTCTAGCTGGTGTGGTGGCAACACACCTTTAATCCCAGTACCCAGGAGCCAGAGGCAGTTGGATCTCTTTGAATTCAAGTCCAGCCTGGTCTACATAGTGTGTTCCAGGACAGCTTGGACTACAGGAGACCCTGTCTCAAAAAGACACCCCCCAAAGCAATATTCTACTTTAAAGGGTAAATTTGTCCATGTTAAGGGGACATAGCAATATTATATATAAAATGTTCGTTAAGGAACTTTGTTTATATATTAGGATGGAATGAAATAGGCCCGGCTTCAGATAAGACTGCCACTTTACTATTTGTAGAGGCAATTCACCATTAGTGTCATTGCATGTTCTTGTTGGGTGTGCCAAGAATGCAAGACTGATCACTCTGTCTTTGGACCATTTCTCAGAGTTGTGTTCGCAGGGAGCAATTTTGAGGGATGAGGTAATGTCTCCTTGCAAAACAAAGAACAGGCTTGCTTAGTGCTCACTATAAAACATGATAGATTCCCAAGCTCAGCATTCCTCTCCTATAATGTGAACCATTTTGTGTGCAAGCATGCACCTGGGGCCCATAAGCTTTGTTCCCGGGAGAATACGGGTTCACAGAACCAACACAAACATGCTGACCCTCTAGCTACTGCTTCCGTTAATAGTCCATTTCTGGTCCACATGGGTTCTGTCAGCATCCATAAAGCCGCGAACAACAACATACTGAGTCTCCAAGGGAAGATAAAATCTGACTCTTCCTGAGAGCTCCCTCGCCTCTTTTAGACCAGGGTCGCAGCCAGAAGAACCCTTTGCTTTGGTGCCCGGTGATGCCCGGCAGGGAGGCACAGACTCCTCGTTGGTCCTACGCAGGCACTGGTTTGGTGCTGAGACGCGCGGTGGGCTAGCCTGGACGCAGCGGGGCCGGGGTAGCTAAGCGATTCCTGCGCAGGCGGGGCCGGAGAACCGCACGGTGATTGGATCCCGGAGCACGGGCTTTTGTCTGGCCGCGGCGGTTGCTTAGCAACCAGGTTTTATTTAGCTCTTTCCCATCGCGTGGCTCGGGTCCCGCGGATGGAGCGAGTACCCTCGGGAGTAGAGGTGCCGGGCGGCGCAGGTCGTGGGCTCCACCCAGGAAACCCCCCGTTGGCGCGACGCGCGCCCAGCAGCCCCGGAGCCGGCACACGCGCGCTCCCTCCCACGCACGGTCGGCCTCCGCAGCCGCCCACACGGCCGCGCGTTGGAGAGTGCGGTCTGCGGCGGCTGCGCGGCGTCTCCTCCTCCGCCGTCAGGGACCTGCTCGCCGCAGGGGCCGCGGAGCGCGTCGTCCCCCTCAGGCCTCCAGAGCCCGGATGCCTCCGAAATTCGGCTCTGGGTCTGTGGGGAGCGAAATGCTACCCAAACCCGTTGTTTCCGAAGCCCAGAGCATAGAAACACGCACAAGCACGCACACGGGCGTCGCCGCCGCAGGTGGGGCGCGGAGCGAAGAGCTGGGGCCCAGAGGGTTCGCGGCCGCTCCGCGTCGCCGCTCGCAGGAGCGACGGAAGTGCCCGGCGTCACCCGCCCAGCGCAATGGCGCAACGGCCGGCCTGGGCCGAGCAGCCTCCGACACTCCTGGTAGGCGGGGGCGCCGCGCAGGACGGGAGTCGGGAGGGTAGGGCCCGGAGCTCGATGGGGCATGAATCGGACCAGCCGGGATTGCGGCTCCCGCGGGCCGCCTTGCTTGGCTTCGCCGTGGCTGCCGGAGGCGTCTTCTCCCGCGGCACAGGGAGCCAAGGGAGTGGTGGGCCGGACGCGGGGGCCGTTGCCTTTGACTTAATATGGCAGATGCGCCGAAACTCCAACAGGTGGCTCCGTGGCGCAATGGATAGCGCATTGGACTTCTAGAGGTTGAAGGCATTCAAAGGTTCCGGGTTCGAGTCCCGGCGGAGTCGTAGGGGTTTTTTTTTTTTAAAGCTCCCAAAAATGATTTTCCGTTTTCCTCTTTCCTTTCTTTGCAGTCTAAACAGCGTAACTCGTCATGCGCCCGCGTGATTCTCTTCACGGCGCTCGGATCCGGTTGCCCTTCCGCCTTTAGCTGCACTTCCAGGGCCTCCGGGACTCAGCTGCGGGTAGGGCCGATCACAGGCCTGGGGAGAGGGCACAGGGTTAGCGCGGCTCTCCGCAGCGGCCTGCTGGGAGCGTGGGATCGGCCCGGGTCTCGGGTGACACCCCACGGCCGGAGCTTGACAGAGGCTGCAAGCAGGGGCGAGGAGGCGCGCTGCACCTTGCGCGGCGCGGGTGCCCCTCCAGCCCCGAGGGCTTGCAAAGCACGTACCCGAATCTCCAGTGGGGCTTGTCAAAACTGGAGACCTCTTGTTTCAGGACCTCGATTCCGTGGATCAGGGAAAGGGCCCACTATCTGCGTTTCTGGGATTGCTAGCTTGCTTCTTCCAGTCCAGTGCAGAGCGGTTCAAGCAGGCCCACTTCCCTGTCAGCTCCTTCAGGCAGAAATGACTGTATCTATTGTCTCTGCATATTTGTTAATATTATTAATCATAATAAACCAGGCGTTGTGGCACTGGCCTTTAATTCCAAGGCAGGTGGACCTCTGAGATCGAGCCAGCCTGGTCTATATAGTGAGTTCCAGGCCAGTTGGGGCTACACAGAGACCCTGTCTCAAAGCAAAGAGAAAAGTTACTGACCACATGTGATATATCCTTCCCTGAATACAAGTAGTGCTACTTTGTGCCGTTGTATGATTGTATCGTATTGATTTAATAGACGGTAATAACCAGACATTTAGATGCCCATTATTTTCCCATTACAATGTTGCAGTGAATATCCTTGTTCTTTTTTGTGCACCAGTGTAGATACGCATCTTCAGGATGGATTCCTGGGAAGTTCAATGCTGGCTCACAGGTTTGTTCCAGTCCTTATCTGTGCCCTCTTTGATTAGGGATTGGCAGGATGCCTTCTTAGAAATTATACCCATTTTATTCTCATTTGTAATGTGTGAGAGTGCCTGTTTCCCCACAACCCACTTTACAAACAAATGAAAATTGTTTATAATAGTTTGAATTCATGTCTTTTATTAAGAGTGAAGCCTAGCATTTTTTCACACACAGGATAATTTGTATTTCCTTTGTGCTCTTTTTCCTGTTGTTTCACACCCACTTAGGATGGCTATGTCGTTCTTATTCATTTGTAGTTTCTTACCTACTAGAGGAAAGAGTCTTATGCTTATAATATCCAGTCTGTGCTCTGATTTTTTTATGAAATTTTATCTTTATTTTACAGAAATTCATAGATTGTTTTTATCAGTGCTTGCTGGCTTGTGAGTTTGAAGGCCCGATTACCCTCAGATTATTCCTTTTCATGGCTTTGTTTTTAAATCTTCACTCCATCTGAAATAGTTTTGTGATGGGAGTTCTGTCCCGGAATCAGATGATGAGCCCTCTCTCTTTTCTATACTAATTTGAAATACTACCTTCATGACTATCTAACTTCCTACATACTTTTGAATTTCTGGATTTTTCTATTTTATTGCATTCATCTATCTGAATTTTTGTTGCTGTTTTAAAATCTAGTAGGGTCAGATTTTTTTTTTTTTTTTTTTTGGGTCTTTTGAGACAGGGTCTCACTGTAGTCCCAACTGGCCTGGCACTTGCTATGTAGATCAGGCTGGCCTTGACCTCACAGAAATCTACCTGCCTCTGCCTCCTGAGTGCTGAATACATCAGATTTTTAAGAGTTGCTTCTGCATAACCATGAATTATTGATTATAATAATAAAGTAGCTTGGCCAAAGTTATGCAAGGTTTCACATTAACTAAGGTGACTGTGTTAAAAGTCTTTTCATCTTGGGGCATGGTGGTGCAGGCCTTTGATCCCAGCACTTGGGAGGCAGAGGCAGGTGGATTTCTGTGAGTTCAAGGCCAGCCTGGTCTACATAGTGAGTTCCAGGACAGTTGGGGCTACAGGGAGACGCTGTCTCAAAAAAAAAAATCTCTGTGACAAAATAACTGATATAAAAAAATTTGATTCATGGTTTCAGAGGTTTTGAAAAAGAGGCCACCACAGGAAACAAGGTAAACTCTGGGCCCTGACTTTTTGTTCATTAAAGGCATGCCTTCAACACCTCTGTCATAATACACTGAATTAGGCCATAGGTCACAATGCTTACAGAACTAGGATTCCCTTATGACTATACCAGCCTAAAACTAGTGGAATTTAAGGTGGCTCCACATTGACAAAGGGGATTGTTACAAGGAATGTTTTCATCCCAAAATTATCCTCAGTAAGCCCAGAATCAACTAGGCTGTCAACAAAGCAGAATCACTGCATTTGCTCCTAGTTGACTATCTTTGGAAATCACACAGCTAAGCTTCCTACCAGCTTGTGGGAGGTGACACACCTCTGACATGTGGGTCATGATAATAGCAGCCTGGGTGACTTTGCAGAAACTTGAATGAACTTTTGTTAAGACAGACTCTATAATACCTGATAGATACCTGATAGATAAATAAAACGTGATAAAAAGGCTTGGTGTGTGTCTTCATATTATGTCCATCCCCTTTGTTGTGGGTCAGCTCTATATGTAGATGTTGATCATTTAAAAAAATGTTATGTTCAAGACTATCATACAAGGTTAACTTGGCCTGTTGGAGCTGGCATTTGTTCTATCCCACCCTTATGTTTTCCAGGAGCATAAGCACCTGCAGTCTGCAAACCAGGAGACCAGGATGTTTTCACAAAGTGATGAGTAACTTAGCAGTTTGAGTAAAGTAGGATAATACTTTACTCAAGTATTGACAATGAACAAGCTTTAGTCTAGCCTTCCAAAATGAATAAAAAGCCTACTGATCACAGGAACTAGCCCCATGGATCAACAGATGGGATTATATGAAATTAAAAACTTTCTGCAATGCAAACTACCAGTAGAGCATACAGCATACAGAATGGGAACAAATCTTTACCAGCTATAAATCAGACAAGAGGCTAAATATCCAGTGTGATGGTTTGAGTGAAAATGTCCCCCATAGGCTCCAAGTATTTGGACATTTTGTCCCCAGATTGTGGCGCTGTTTTGGGACGTCTTAGAAGGTGTGGCTATCCTGGAGGAAGCATGTCACTGGGGGTGGGCTTAGAGAGTTCTTAAGCCTTGCCAGATCTCCAGTTTCTCTCTTGCTTCCTGTGCTTGCTCGCTTCTGCTGGTTCCTGCTCCAGCCATCTCCAGGTACCATGCCTCCCTGCCATGACTGACTGTAATTCCCCTGGAACCATAAGCTCAAAAAACTCTTCCTTCTATAAATTGCCTTGGTCAGTGTTTCTATCACAGCAAATGAGTAATACATCCAGAATATACAAAGAATTGTAAAAAATTAAATACCAAGGAAATAAAATTACCAGTCAACAAATGTGATAATTTGAGTAGTTTTCAGAAAAAGAAATACAAATGACCAACAACTATTTTAAAATGTCACCAACATCTCTCATACTCTGAGATACCAACTTAACCCAGTCAGAATGGCTATCGTCAAAGAAATCTGACAACAAATATTGGAGAGGATGTGGAGAAAGAGGAGCCCATATTTATTGCTGGTCAGAGTGCAAATTAGTACAGCCATTATGGAAATCAGTTTGGATGTTCCTTTTTAAAAATTAAAAATAGGGGCTGGGGAGATGGCTTAGTGGTTAAGAGCACTGACTCTTTCATAGGGCCTGGGTTGGGTTCCTAGCACCCACATGGTGACTAACAACTTACCTGTGATTCCAGTTCCAGGGGATCCTAAGTCCTCTTCTGGCCTCTACAAGCACTGCATGTATGGGTGCACTTGCATGCAGGCAAAACACTCATACACTAAAATAAAAATAAGTCAAAACAAATTTTTAAAATTAAAAGTAGAGCTACCATATGACCCAGCTATCTTACTTTTGGGCATATACCCAGAGAACTTCATACATTACTATAGGGGTATTTGCACCCTCATATTTATTGCTGCTGTGTTCACTATAGTAAGGAAGTGGAACAGCCTAGTTGTCTATCAGCAGATGGATAATGAAAATCTGGTACATATATAAAATGGCATATTATTCTGCTTTAAAGAAAATATCTACAAGAAAATGGATGGACATAGACTGCATTAAGTGAGGTCACCAAATCACAGAAACTGAAACACTGCATGCCTTCCCTCATGTGTAGAGTCTAGTCTAACAAAAAAATTCATCCTCCAATAAAAATGCAATCAGATATATTCACTATGAAAAAAAACTATGCTTTTAAAAAATTACCCTTTCTTGTTCTCATTTCTAAATGGAGAAAAACTGGAAGCATTCCCATTGAAATCAGGAACCAGACAAGGCTGCCCATTATCTCCACTTCTCTTTAACATAGTACTTGAAACTCTTGCAAGAGCAATAAGACAAGAGAAGGAAATTAAAGGAGTAATAATTGGA